GGACTGTTGTGGGCAAGGCTGGATTAGAAAGGAAACCCCAGAGGTTAACTCAGGTCGACCTCGTGAACAGGAGACAGATTGACTTAATATATTTAGCTTGCATTAGACAGCTAACAGCATGCTTGCTGAATTCCTAACAGGAAAGTGGAGGCCAAAGTGGGAAAAAGAGCTGGAAGGGGTTTAAGCAGAGCCAAATTTTATTTCCTATGAAATAAAAAAATCCGTAGTGTATTTCTCACAGGCACTTACTAAACCACAGGTGGCAGGCTGCAGCCCTGCGAGTCCTGTCCACCTCGTCCAGAGGTGCTGACGGGAGTGTAAGGCAGGAGCTCCTGGCAGACGCAGGGATTTCTGCCCCTTGCCCTGGGCCTGTGGCACCTGAATCTCTGCAGGTGAAGCCAGGAGGGGATGTGCAGGTGCATAAGTCCCGCCCATGGTTCTTTTTTTGTTTTGTTTTGTTTTTCTCCGGTACCGGGAACCGAACTCATGACCTTGCGCTTGCCAGGCAGGCGCTTTGCCGCTGAGCTAAATCCCCAGCCCCTCGCCCATGGTTCTTAAAGGTCAAGGTGGAGAAGCAGGGACACAAATGTTGCTGCTAACACCGTGCCCCAAGCATGTAAGGCAAGTGGTGCTCAGCACAACGCAAACGTGAGCCCTCAGCCTGCTTCCCTGCTGGGGTGGGGGCAGTGGCTCTCCTTCTCCTTCCCTTGCTCTTCCTGCCAGGGCCCCACCTCCAGCCTCGGCTGCCTTTAGCTGATGTGGGTGTGGGGAGGTGCAGGTAGTTTAAGATCCTTTACCCATCGTCTCTTTCCAAAAGCACAGTGCAGAGCACTTTGGCCTTCTCACCTGGGCTCTGTGTAAATTACTCCTAGGGGGCAAATTACAAATCCACCCAGCTATCAACACTACATGTGTAAGGGAACATTGATTCTATTTTACGGACTGAAGCATTTCCCAATTCTGAAGTCAGAAGTAAAACTGTGGCTGTGCATAGTGGCACATGCCCATAATGTCAGCTACTGGGGAGACTGAGGCAGGAGGATCACAATTTCAGGTCAGCCTGGGCAACTTCACGAGAACCTGTCTCAAAACTTTAAGAGGAGGGAGAGCTAGGGATGCAGCTCAGTGGTCCAGTGCCTGCCTGGCG